GAAGTGGTGCAACACCCAAATGTATCTCACCTTTCTTATTTAATGCATTCATCTGGACCTTCTTTATTTTAAGGTTATTTAACAACATTCTCATGGAAAAATGTTGGCTCACTGTGACGTTTGAGGTCAAATGGTCATATCAATTATTTGAGAAAAGAAACGTGGTCATGGGATCCACTTACTTAGTCTATTATGTCCTTTAAAATTGTAATAACAGTCTTCTCTAATTCTCAGGGTGTACTTCTCTTTAAAACTTGATTAAAGATGCGAAGGTGGATAGTGAATTTTATCAGTTCCGCAACTTCCCCACTGTGCGCGGCACCTCAAAGAGAAATGTGTTTTGAGTGAATCCAATTCTAGTTTGACCTTGGAAAGTTTGAACGTAAATATACCCATGGTGAAGCATGAGTCACCATGCCAAAATGAAAGAAAACAATGTAATTATCCTTGATCACTTGTAGAAAACAAAGAGAGTCAATTGGAAAATATGGGATTCGATCCTGAATTGCAATGAGATTTTAAACCTCCTGTAAGTCTTGTATGGTAAGATCTAAATTAGAGTAAGATCTAAAACTTTAAATCCTCTTGAATAATGACATGAACTTGAACATGATTCCTCACTTGAATTTGTGGAAACAAGGTCTAAAAAAAACCTTCAACTTATTGAATTCTCGGAAAAATCGTAATTCGAGTGAGAATTCTTTCGCCTTTTACAATTTGAGCTATTTGAGCGGCGATAGCATGTGAACTACTTTCCCAATTCTGAAATTCGGTAGGCTTTGCGATAGACAGGTTCTTGAATATAGAGCTTAGCTTAAACACGAGCTCATTCTTAAGTGTAAGGTTTGCAGGCCAAATAACAAGAGACATCTGAGCTCCTTCACTTGCAACTTTCCATGAAACCCGTGCCCAAATCTTAAGTGACCATGGTTAATCACCAAGAAAAAACCTTGATTCTCTCTGTGAAGCGCTCTGAGGAAAACGACTAATAGAATAAACCCAGGATCTCCAGTAATCCAATGATCACACTTTGAAGTGCTTGATTGTAAGGATTTACACTTGACAGTACTGCATCTGCATGAATTGGTTAACCGTAATAAACATGTACACAAAAGTATAAAAATAACATGCAAGAAAAAATGCAAGGAGGTGGGTGTCGCTACTCGAAAAATGCATCGCGCAACGACGGGGAGGCGAAAAGAAAGGACAGAAGAGTCGCCACCGAACTTTATTTATCCCATGGGGGGAAAGGAAAATATCGAGAAAACCTTAAGAAACGAACGGATAAGATGGTCTCGCAACCATGAACGGGTTCGGAAACCGGTTATACAAGGGGAAGGTATTAGCACCCCTCGCATCCATCGTACTCGATGGGAACCTTTTGTTTGTCGACGTGTGAATTTATTTGCTAAAATATTATGCTATAAAAGTGTGTTCCAAAGGGAGAGAGATAAAGGGTTAGAAACAGGGAAAGAGAGGTAACAGAGGGAGAAAAGTGAAAGAACAGACTCGGTAGGACTTCGCGGTCCTAGGCCTACATATTCTCAACGGATGTGAGAAAATCAGAGTCGACGTAGTTCGGGGAACTACAAATATGGGGGATGTGCTCGCCAAGACATCGCCGTCTTGTGCCTACGTATTCTCATCTGGTATGAGAAATCAGAGCAGCCGTAGTTCGGCCTACGGTGTGTTGATGTTTTTTTATGGATGATGCTATCGTGCGCATTCTAGCAGTTAGGTGTTTTGCTGCTCGCCCGTTGGAGACTTAGGCATTACCTGTTTGCGGTAGAACGGACGTAACATATCCTTTCGAAAGATTGATTAATTTTCGCCACACGGGGCTAGAAGTCACATTTGATTGATTGGATTGTTTTTTAGGGGGGCGAGACAGATCCTCGGATAGTAACCCCTACGGGTAGTACCCAATTCTTTGTCTCAAAGTTTTTGTTATGAAAGGGTGTTGCGAACATAGCGTCTTCGTATTGAAAGACGAGTATCAAAACCACACACACTACAGTGAGCATCTCGACACTCGGAGAGGAAGAAGTCTACACTTAATCCTCTCTCTTTAGTTCAATACAAAGAGAACTTCATTCTCTTATTAAAGATGTTTTTGGTTTTGAATGGTAAGTGCTTTGCGACAGAGAACCCTATGGTAAACGTCAGCACTCGGGATAGGAGAAGGCCTACGCCTAACCACTCCACGACCATTCAAGTTTTTGTTATGAAAATGATTTGAAAATGCACTCGGTACGGGACCGAGGTTTTTAGGTGTGAAAATTGTGGAAGAAAGTTGTGAAAGCGAGATGGTGGATAAAGTCGCGTCTTCGTATCGAAAGACGAGTATCGAGACCACCCTCACTACAGTGGGCATCCCAACATTCGGAAAAGAAAAGGTCTACACCCAATCTTCTCTCTTTAATTCGATACAAAGAGAAATTTATTTTAAAGATGGTTTGAAAATGGACTCGGTACGAGACCGAGGTTTTAGGAGCAAAAAGGGTGGAAGCGTCTTCGTATTGAAAGACGAGCGTCGAAACCACCCTCACTACAGTGGGCATTTCAACACTCGAAGAAGAAGAGGTCTACACCCAATCCTCTCTTTTTATCTCAACACAAAGAATTGATTTTAAGGAGATGAGATTTAAAAAATGGATGGGAAGCGTCTTTGTATTGAAAGACGAGTGTTGAAACCACCCTCACTACAGTGGGCATTCCAACACTCGGAGAGGAAGAAAGTCTACACTTAATCCCCTCTTTTTAATTCAATACAAAGATAATTTGATCTTGAAGATTGTTTGACAATGTTTTTGAATCGAGTCGGGACAAGTGACGAAGAGAGAAAAGAGGTGGTCTCAGATCCAACATTACTTATCAATAATTTGACTGGTAATGAATTACGGAGGTCTCGTCATCGACCTAAACGAGCAAGAGTGCCCAATAACACATGAAAAATGAGATTAACTTCTAAAGAGTATGAACTAAAATAACAATAGAAATTCTAAAAGAAAATAAGAATTAAAATATGTGTATATGTGGAATTCTGAAGAAAATATATAATAGAAATTTTAAAAAGAAAATTAAATATAAGAAAAAGTATATATATACAAAACAATTCTATGAAATACAATAGAAATTAAAAATAACATATATTTGACCAAAATATATTTACAAAACTCTAAACTAAAAAATAATTTACATAAAAAAACAGAAGGGGGTGATTTGATGAAAAGGGGGGGGGGGGGGTAAGAGAAGAATGAGGATCATATGGGCCATAGGCCCATCACCTCTTGCAACAATACGGCATTTCAAAAAGGCAACAAAAAGGAAAAAATGGGCCGAAAGCCCCGACCCATGGCTCTGCATCACAAAATAGTTTCTTTTAAAAAAAAAACATTTTTTATTACTGTGAAAACAAACAAGAAACGAAGCTCATACGAGGAGTGAGGAGACCACAACAATCGCAAGCGGTCAAAACGAGAAACAACACGATGAATACCCAACCTCCGTGCGGCTCAGTTCTATCTCTTCTCGCATGCTTCATAGCACATCATATCTTCCGATTTCAGTTGTATGGTTTGGTGCGGTCAAGGGTGGTGGAAATTTCACGACGATGGCAAGCGAAATGAAGCGGTTTGTTAGGTGATGAAGGTTGGTTGGGTTTATGTTGAAATGATTTTGTTGAAGATTTTCATATTTGAGAGTTATGGTTGGTGATTGTTTTGTTTGAAGAGTTAAGTGGCTGAGTTAGGGTTCGAAAGGGATTTCAGATAAAAAAATGGGTGTTTCAACGGGTTGAATCATGGAGTTTGAGTTGGTTGCAGTGACGGTTGTGTTGAGGGATTTCGGAGGTGATTAATGGAGGGATTATTTGAGGAGGAAATGTTGATGATTGTTGGTCAGTTCTGGGTGAAGGTGATTGAGCTTTGTCGAAGGAGGATGCTATTCGTGAGAGATGAAGGTTGAGAAGTGATTTGGGTTGTTGTTTGGTCGTGTTGGGTTGTGTTCATAGAGTTGAGAGTTTAAAGTTTACTTGAATATGAGTTGGAGGAAGGCTAATGGCTCGTTTAATGTGGAAGTTTGAGGGTTTTCTGGCAAGATTATGAAGACTATGAAGACAGGAAACAAAACAGTCCAAACAATGCAGACCAAAACTATGAAGACAGGAAGAGTAACAGAATACTTACAGAGTAGGAGCAATACCACCAGATTGTTGATACAGAGCACAGGTGAGCTCCTTCTTCAATCTCCTTTTTTTTTCCAGTTCTTTGTGATGGAGGTGAGTTTGTGAGAGAAAAGCAGCTGTTTTTCTGTTAGGGTTTTTTGTTCTGAATGAGCAGTAACCAATATATATGATGTGAGATTAGGGTTTAACTTGGAGAAATTGTGGGAACTTTGGGTCTGTTCCTCTTTGGGAAAGAAAGTGAGATACTTTTTGCAATGGGAGCAAGGGCTGAAGTTGTGGGATTGAAAACAGCATAATCTTTGTCTGTTTGTAGCTTTTGAATTTGTCTGTTTTTACTCATGATTTTCACTGTGGTAACACAACAATTTTACTGATATATTTAATTTCTTTGCAGGTTTATCATGATCCTGGAAGTATGAAAATCCAGCGGGCTTCCTTTCTGTTCATGTGCCTTCGGAACTGCAACATGAAACCTGTTCAGATAGTCATTAATTTTCTTAGACTTCATCTTTGTCTCCACCCTCTGATTCACCACTTCTAATACTTCACTCATCTTCGGGCGATTCTTTGGGTTTCTGATCAAGCATCTGTTGGCTACTAAAGCTAGCTTTTGGGCTGATTTTGAGAGGTGTTTCCTCTCAAGTCTTGGATCCAATATTATTTGAAATTTCTTCATGTCCGAAAGGTATGGTCTTATCCAGTCCAACAACTTCTGCTCACTCTTGGGGCGATTTCGATCTAAAGGACGCCTGCCAGTAATGAGTTCATAAAGGAAGACACCGTAGCTCCATACATCAATCTTAGAAGTGAGACGTCATGTTTGAATATATTCGGGAGCTGCATAGCCCATTGTTCCAACAACCGCTATTGAGACATGAGTTAACCCATCAGATGGTCCCAATCTTGCTAATCCAAAATCTGAAAGCTTTGCATTCCACTGCTCGTCCAGAAGGATATTTGAAGATTTGGAATCTCTGAAAATTATCTGAAAATCCATTTCCTCGTGCAGGTATGTTAAGCCGCGAGCAGCGTCTTGGGCTATTTTCAGTCTCCTACTCCACGAGAGAGGAGTTTCGGATCGTGGCGATAAATGGTGTTCCACGCTTCCATTGGGCATATACTGGTATATCAAAAGCCGCTGGATTCCCCTTTCATCATCATCAGCACAATATCCCACTAGTTTCACAAGATTGGGATGCTCAACAATACCTAGAACATTCACTTCAGTTACCCATTCTTTATGCCCCTGAATTCCTCTTTTACCAAGTTGTTTAACCGCAACTTCAATTTTACTAGGGGGGTCATCTAAAGTCTTGATCACTCCCTTGTAGACACACCCAAATCCGCCCTCACCAAGCATAACAGAACGACCGAAATTCTTGGTGGCTGACTTCAGTTCAGACACAGCAAATACTCTCAGGTTGCTAGGTCTTTGGGACAAATTAGGAAACGCATTCCTCCTGAGGGAGTCCGAGCTATTGTCTGATGACGCATCCAGAGAATTTAATTCAGAACCAGTTCTTCTCACGTCACTCCCACCATAAGTAGAATTGTTTGACAGACCCGATAATGTCTGCAAGCTCTTAGCATCACCTTTCTTTTCTCCACGGTAGATGTTGAACGGAAAACAATTCATTGCAACCAGATCCAAACCGCACTCTAGTTTGATCGGAAAAAAAGTAATTATGATAAAATCCCAATTCTGTTATGAAGCTAGAGAAGACTTAATTCAAGTAAACTTTCACGGAAGGCATTTTGGTTGGAAAAAAAAAAAGGGAAAGAGTGAGTCGCAGAGTTGAAGTAAGGTAAAGAACAAAATCCGAAGGAAACTTGAAAGATTTGTAATATGAACGAGTCTTTCGGGTTCGAAAGACCGAGTCGGAAAAAAAAAAAAGAAACAGAAACAGGAACAGCCACTAGCCAGTGTTATTTTTGTCCTCCTTGTATTCTTTTTATTATTTGTTCTACTCTCTACATGAATATGCTTATCTGAGTTTTGTTTGCTTTTCTTAGGTTATCCGGACTTCCTTGAGTATGTTCACTGCCAACCATTATTGGAGTTTTCATAAATTGACTTAGTGCAACCGCATCCGCAGAAATCACTTTGGTTTATCTTGGTAGGTATTACTCTAGAATCAAATTCATCTCATCATTCCCTGTTTGTAGTTTTGTAGGTCCTTTTTCGTTACTCATGATTTGTAATGCTGCAGATACGCGAGTTGGTAGGCTCTGTACGACATTGCAAAACGTCGCGGCTTTGTTGGTGTGTGAAGGTAGCTGCTCAAAACTCTTTGTGAAAACCGGTTGAAATCGATGCGTGAGGCTTCTGGGTTTGTGGTAGATCCCCATTCGACGTGGGCCTGCTTGGAGATGGCTTCACGTGACTTTTATGAGAAACTTTATGAGAGATTCTCAGAATTATATTTCACCTTCTGTCATGTTCAAAAACCTCCAGCTATAGTGTGTTTACAAATTTTGTAATAAACATCAATATTGCCAATGGGCCTAAAGAGATGGGCCTCCAAATTAGTTATGACTTTTTGTAATGAATTACTCTTTTTAAGTTCACATTGAATTTTGAATTCATATTTCATGCTTGAGTCAAACCTTAATTTTTGCCCTTGACTTTCAAAATAAATCAAATTTTGAACCTGAGCCAAATTTGAATTAAATTTGAATCGGATTGAAAATGGACCAAACTTTTGGTCTTAACCATTCCTGAACAAATCTTGAAGTATGGACTAAATTAGACCAAACTATGAAATTTTCCTGCACCATGGTTTGTCTTGGAAATTAGAGAGCTAGAATTTGAAATACGAGCCTCAGTTCAATGTCCAAAATCCTAGCTGAGAAATGTATTGGATTCTGACAATTCTCAACCATAAAGCCTTATGAATTGGTTTGTGCATAAGTGATTTGAAATGGCATAAAATCGATTACTTAGAACCTCAAACACACACCGTTCAAAATCATGTAAACCCTGACCTGATCATGAACAAACTTTCTCCTAACCAACTTTCAGTCAGAACCCGCTGAATTTCAATCATACCACACACATTTCGACAAATGAAAATTATACACGTGTAGGACAAATTTGGGGTAGTTTATGCAATGTGATATGCTAATGCAATGAAATGAAACATAAGCCAGATGGAGAAAAGGTAGGGAAAATTTTGGGATACAACACAAAGTAACCATTGCTCGTTGGTAAGTGGCCCCTGCGTTCTTCAGACCGAAAGGCATTACCTTGTAGCAAAACGTTCCCCAAGAAGTGATAAACGTAGTTTTCTCCATGTCCTCCGACGCCATCTTGATCTGATTGTAGCCGGAGAAGCCATCCATGAACGAAAATACGGAGAACTGAGCTGTATTGTGGACCAACACATCAATATGAGGCAGCGGGAAATCATCTTTAGGGCTCGCCCTATTCAAATCCCGATAATCGACGCACATTCACCTTACCGTCCTTCTTCGGTACAGGAACTATGTTGGCAACCCACGGAGGGTAAGTAGTGACCGCTAAGAAGCCAACATCAAGCTGTTTCTGCACTTCTTCTTTGATCTTAACGGCCATATCTGGTCGTGTCCTCCTAAGCTTCTGCTTAACGGGAGGACAATCTTCTCGCAGCGGCAAGTGGTGGACCACGATGTCGGTATCAAGTCCGGGCATATCTTCGTATGACCAAGCAAAGATGTCACTATACTCTATCAGCATCTCGACCAATCTCTGCTTGACATCACTCTGCAATGCAGCCCCTGTCCTGACGTTTCTGACAAGTTCTTCAGAACCCAGATTCACAATCTCAATCTCTTCTTCGTGAGGCAGAATAACTTTCTCTTCTTGTTTCAACAAGCGGGCCAGCTCTTCGGGAAGGTCTTCGTCTTCATCAATCTCTTCTTCGGCTTGATAGATCGGGCAATCGAAGTCGAAGTGAGTCGTAGAAGGTCCAGAGTCGATGTCATCTGCTATGTGGATACTGCAATAACAAGGGTTAAGCTTAAAGCAAGGATATGCAGGTTAGCACAAACCCTATTTCCATTTTATTGTTTTTCAAAACAAATATAAAACAAGAATAACAGAGATCACAACATTCAAATGCGAAAGAACGCCTTTTGATTTATTGGTAAAATGCAAGTACATAATCAAACAAGGCCCTGACAATAAAACCACTATGCCTCGGGTAGGACATAGGGTTGTACAATGATTGGAGAAAGTAAATCATTACTCTTTTCCTGTCACTTGGATGGTATCCCTGATGGACCAGTTGGTGAGGCTCTGGCCTGGTTTGCTTGGCTGGATCCAAGAGTCTAGGTCGCAATCACTGTCTTCGCCGTCTTCAGACACTGCGTTGACACTTTCAAATATCACCCCGCCACTGGTAAACTGGATCGGCCCTTTACCTCGCGACGCACTGTGAGAAGAGCAGGCTTCAGCCGCAGGAGAGTATCCTAACCCAAACTTGTCCTGTTTGTTAGGTATTTCTAGAACCTGCCCCCAGCCTGGGGTAGATCCGGCTTGAACAACGGCCCGGGCTCCCTTGAAGGAAGAGAGAGTCATCTCTGGCTTTTCAGTCATTACTGGAGCCACGTCTTTGGCTTTAACAGCCTCGAACGCCTGACATAGGGTTTCATGGATTTCCCCATCCATCTCAACATACTTGAAGGACGACAAATGGCTCACCATTATATCTTCCTCGCCACATACAGTCACGATGCTGCCTCCGACAGTGTACTTGAGCTTCTGGTGCAACGTGGAAGTCACGGCACCAGCAAAATGGATCCATGGCCGGCCTAGGAGACAGCTGTAGGCTGGCATGATGTCCATGATGTAGAAGACTGCGTCGAAAGTTTTCGGCCCGACTTGGATTGGCAGAGTTACCTCTCCAAAGACACGACGCTTAGTTCCATCGAAAGCCTTCACAACCAGATCACTAGGTGTGCAAATCAATCCTCGAGTATCTAACTTCATCAATGCGTTCTTTAGGAGAACATTGAGTGAAGACCCATTGTCCACCAACACATGAGACATAATCGTTCCCCTACACTCTATCGAGATGTGCAGGGAACTGTTGTGGTTTCTTCCCTTCGGCGTCAGCTCCAAGCCAGTGAACCCTAACCCGTTTCCAGCATTCACGTGGGCTACTACCCCTTCCAACTGGTTGATCGAGATTTCCTGCGGTACATACGTGGCATTCAAAACCTTTAACAGCGCGTTGGAATGTGACTCCGAACACAGCAACAAATTCAGGATGGAAATTTTCGAGGGTGTTTGAAGGAGGTGATCCACGATCTTGTAATCACTCTTCTTGATCAGCCTCATGAACTCTTCAGTGTCCTTAACAAGTAAGTCCTTCTCTACCCCACGAGGGGTTTCCTCAACGACTTTACTTTTTCCCTTATCGGTTACTTCAGCTTTGTCCGCTTTGTCCGCCACAATCTCAGGTGGAGCAAATACTCTTCCGCTTCGCGTGATTCCGCCAATTCCCACTAGGTTACCCACCGACTGCCCAGATGGTTCTAGTTCCAACTTCTGTCCGTTACAGTAGACGTCTGCCCCATAGTGCCACGGGACAACGTTAGTGCTTTCAAAAGGTATCGGCCCAGCCTTTGTGATGGTAATTGTGGGCGGCCTGGGTGCATAAATGGTTATCGTTTGGCGAGGGATAGTGATGGTAGCAACCTCATCATCTTGCTTCAACATTACCTCTCCAGATCCACATTCGGCCCTTCGGCTAAACTGCAAGATCCCTTCGGTCATCAGACTCTGAATCCCCTCTATCAACTGTTCATATCCATCAGGACGAGTCGCACAACCCGTACAAAGTTCTCCACACCCTGGTAAGAAGCCTCTCTTCATCAGCTTGGCTTTAACAAAGCTAAGCGGCGTCTTCAGATCCTTGACATCAGTCAACAAATCCAAGTTCTCGTCTTCAATAATGGCATTCACCCCACCTCCCCTATGATTCGGCATAGGGTTCTTTGTGACATTCGGCACATTATCTGAGAAATTGATGATCTTAGCATCCACCATATCCTGCACCTTGTGCTTGAAGGCTTTGCAGTTTTCTATCGTGTGGCCGGGTGCCCCTGAGTGAAACTCACACGTTGCATTCGCGTCATAACCTGGCGGAGGTGCCCCTGTCAAGGGAGCCAAGGTTCTCTTCTGGACTAGCTGCAACTGAAGCAGAGTCTATAACAACTGAGCATAAGACATGGGCGGCGTCTCGAGGTGGCGACTTGACAGAGGTGCCTAGTTCTGATACTTTCTGTACCCTTGCTGATTTGGCTGCTGCTGCTGCGGCTGCTGCTGTGGCTGGGGTTGTTGGACAGTAGGGATGGTTATGCTAGCCACCTGCTGGCGTGGGCCTTTACCCTTCCTTCGAGCGTTGGACACGGCGCTCGTCTCCCCTTCACACCTTTTGCCACCATATGATTTCTTTCCTCCTCCAGCTGAGGATAGATCGACACCTTGAATTTTCCCCAGTTTAATCCCATTTTCAACGTGCTCGCCAGTAATGATGAGATTTGAGAAACTTCCAGACATGCCACTGACTAGTTTCTCGTAATAAACCCCCGGGAGGGTGGCTACAAACATTTCAACAAGCTCCCGTTCAACCATCGGCGACTGAACTCTAG